GCATCTTCGTTTTACTTGACCAATCACAGAGAAGCAAAACGAAGATGCTGTTATGGCGGACCAAAATGTTACAATTCCAAATAAGTTTCCTTTTCTATTTTAACGGTGGCTGTCGCATTGGTATTACTTTTTACATTAGATTCTTGTTCAATCTATGAAGAAAAAATTGAAATTATTGTTATTTTTAAACAAATAAATTTAAAATATAGAGAATTTTTATGATAAACGTAAGAAGAATATTTTATGATATGTTTCTTTTTTTTACTCGACCGTTCAAAAATTATGCATGTTGAATGAAGAGCTTATATATTGTCAAGCCAAAAAATGTATCATTGTGGAATGACATAGAGTGACATTTACATCAGCGCCGTATATCGGATTAATTTCGCTTAGCAAAGGGGGAAACGTCGTACTCGCTCCTTTAAAAAACTGTAATTTATACATTGTTTACACATTTTTTGGAAAATTTATTGTCTATTCTGTTTAAAAAACATTTCTTTTACAGTGCGTTTTTTTATCTATAATGTGGAAAAATTTAAATGAAACACACGATGTTGAGATAAATTTTTTCATTGATGTTTTATTTAGTCTCTAAGCTACTTCGCGCATAATCAATATTGTATCCAGTCACCGTCTTTCTCGATCACACGGGCACATCTTTTGGGCCTACTTTTGCTCAAATTTTCAGCATATTTGCGTTGTGAACCTTTCTGGCGTTGAATGAATGAACTGAGCTCCTTCAAATTGCGGTGTGTTTTACAACGAAGCCTTGTCTTAATAATAGCCCAAACATGATCGATCGGATTGCAATCGGGTGACTGTGGCGGCCAGTCCATTTGTTTTATTCCATTTTCCTCTTTCCAAGCGGTGCAGAGACGACTTTTGTGTTTTGGATCATTATCTTCTAGTAGAAGCCAATTCGAATTGCCGTTGCCATAGAACTTCTTGGCGGTGGGTAACAGTGTCGATGAGTAAAGTTGGTTCATCCCCACGGCGTTTGGAATGCCCGTGAATATGGTCAACTTTCCAAAACCAGCTTCACAGAAGCAACCATAAACATGCACCTTTTTCGGATGCTTTACCGTGCGAACGACCACTCTCTTTTCGGCTCTAGACTAGGCATGGGTAGTGCTATTCACCAGCCAAATGAATGACTCGTCAGTGTATATAACTTCGCTCCAACACCTTGGCTCAACGACATACCTGGATTTTCGTCGAACAACTTAACTATCTGCTTATCTTGCTTTGGCGAGGAGGCTCGGTATGGCTCAACATTGGGCTGATCGTTCACATAATTTTCCCGCTTATACTGCTGGATCCAGTGCTGGACAAACCCTGGTGACTTATGAAGGTATTTTGTGACCTTCGCCTGCGGCCACTTTGGCCCCTTTGGGTATAAATGCAGAAATACTGCTTCAAATCGTGAATGAAAATGTTCGGAATTCATGTTTCGGTTGCACAACAAACACTGTACTGATCTGACAGTTGTCGAAATCTAAACGCGAAATAGCTTAGGGTCTCATCAGGCAACACAAAAAGTATTTTTTGAATATTCAAAAATTTCGGTGAACATTATAAATAAAAAAACGCACTGTACGTTCGACTCTTCCACCTGCCACCATTATCAATAAAGAAGCAAGATAAACATTTATTATTTTATATTCGTTAACAGCTTAATTTTCAATGGCTTAAAATTCAATGAACAGAGTAGTTTCGTTTCAATGTTGATGGTTATTCTTTTATTTATTTTATTTTATTTTTTTTTTTTTTCAAATTACAAAAAAATTAAGACTGAATCTAAAGATTTTTTTAAGATCATCTCCGCTGGCCATTCAGTGCATTCATATAGACAGTCAGTGTATGCAAGTCATAACAAACTAGGCTAATGCATTGCCGTTTCGTCATATCATTGGATCTAAAACAATTTAAATGTTTTTTTTTTTTGTTATCGTTATATTAATCGATATTAATCGCTTAGTAGTTAAATTGGCTTACGATTGATTATAAAGAGATTTCAAGCTTTTTATCAGAGTTTTTATAGTGGGATAATCCCTGAAAGCAGTGCATAAAGGTCATTAAAAATGAATTGCTTGTGTAAAAACTATTAACTTACCTTTTAAAATTATTATAACCATTTGCGTAGCAGGCCTTCTCAAGTTTTTCACCAAGTCCATTGATTTGATTGCAAATTACATTTAGATCACTAATAAAAAGTGAATCTTAGAATTGGTAAATATGAAAATATATAGGTATAATCTTACTCATATTCACCAGGCAATAACCATCTCGGAAGTTGTATACTTGGGTCGTTCATAGCTCTAAATCTTAGTTTCAGATATTGTGAATCAGGTTTAGCAGAGCATCTAATACGCATGAAATACCGTTCGTTAGAAAAATGAAATGTTTAAATTGCTGTAGAAATAATTACGCTGCCATAAAATCAGGAAAGGCAAATCGAATAGTCTCGAGATGCGTAGGATACACGTACACCTGTGGCAATGTGATTTTTTGATAAAATGGAGTCGCAGGGCATACTGGAGCTGGAGCGAATACCTCTATAAATGAAGTTATTTCAATTTATTTCATTTTCAATTTTGTCTTTTCAATTTTGTCTTTTCAATTAAATGATTCGGACGTATTTAAGTTACCTGAATAGTCTGTTGACACTGAACTTGAGCTTCGACTGCCATATCTTGAACTTGAACCACCATTTTTATCTTTACTTGTACATGTACCGCCCAACACCATTATTGGCGCCTATTATCATGTGAAAAAAAGGATAAAAACAAATTTCTCTTTATTTTTCATTTTTACTCACCAGAATCATGACTAACAAACGCGATATGGTGAAAAGCTTCATTTTTCTAGAGAAAAAGACCTTTTTACTCAATTAGTTTTTACAAACAATGCAAAAAACAATGACTTTCACGTAATTTATACTAAAAATGGTCGTAATTATCTACTCAATATTATTCATTTTCCAGATACATTGTATTTGAAATGAAGTCAATTATTTCCATAAAAACAGAAAAAACAGACGTTTTAAACGAAATATTTTTCTCTTAGTTACATTATATTTATTTTTCAGAACAACATTTAATTTTATTCGGTGAAAACACTCAAACAGTTTTTTTTGCCTTGTTTTTGAACGAGTTAAACATTTTTCATACGTACTTCATTACGTTCGTTTAAGCACTGTGTACGTCAAATGTTCCAGCGTCATTATAAAGACAATTTTCAAATTATTCAAACAAATTTATTCAGAAGTATACCGTTTCCAAATCAACAGAAAAAATGACGATGATATGTACTCTAATCCACCATCATTGGATGAGGATTTCAATGAATATCAAATGAAGAAATGGCAAAAATTGATCGATTATACTGTGTTAAAATTGGTAATAAAGAGAAAATGCTCCTTTTGCGATTAAAATGGATTCATTCATTTTTCTTACTGATTAGTAACACAATTGATTGCTCGAGAATAAAAGCGAGACTTCTATTCACAACTTATTGAAATGTAACACCGCCATAAAAAATATGCTGACAGTCAGCACTTTTTGTATGGCGGTGTTACATTTCAATACGTTGTAAATAGAAGTCTCGCTTTCATTCTGGGACATTCAATTAAATGTTTCTCAATTTAAATAATCTAAATATCAAGGATAAAAGTGAACACATTTTATTTTTTAACATGTGTCGTCAGTGCGTGTGAGTGCTTTAAACTCTCTCAATCATAATGATCTGAATAATTGATGGTTGCTTTAACATTAGCAGCACCAATGGTCTTTGATTTTGGACGTTTGTAAAGCGCTTTCATGTATAAGATAAGTGTGTGCAAATCTCTGCAAACTAGATTGATGCTTTGCTGTCTCAGCACATCTCTATTTCTGTAAAATTCGTATTCGATATGAAAAAAGAAAAAAATGATATCTATTTGTAATGAAGAACTTACGAGTTTGTATATAATTTTTTCAAAGCTCCAACGAAAATCTGAAGGCTCACTTTATCTCTACAAAACCAAAACAAAATGTATTTCAGTATGTAATTTTGTGTTATATTTATATCATTGACATACACATTGTAATTTTTATAGCCAGCCCGACTATTAGCGGCCGATTCAAAAGATTTACTTATCTTATTTATCTCGTCAACAATATTACTTAAATCGCTGCAAATGAATTAAAGAACTAATGCATCTATTTGAATTCATAATCGATAAGTTTTCTTACGGATATGTACCCGGGAGCTGGTTCCACGGTAGCTTTACACTTTTGTCATATTCACGAGTGGCTCTCTTTTTTAAAAAATCGATATCTGGCTTAGCAGCACAACTAATGAAGAGAATTAATTGAGAATACATATCAAGTTAGAAACAAAAAAAGCAATATCACTTACTCCATCATAAAGTTGACAAAATAAAGACCGTTTCCTTCGGCCTCTTCAATATCTTCCCGTTCGGCGGTCACATTTGGTAATTGGATGAACTGATAAAATGGTGGATCAGGTGAAATTGGATTGAAAAACTTTTCAACTAAAAGTAGAAAAATGTGAATAAAAATGAATAACACAGGTAATTTGAAATTCTTACGTCCGCACAATAAACCACATAATGGTCCACTTCTTGGTCCTGCCATGACAATATTCGTAGTCTATGTTGACAATTAAAAAAAAAGATCAACGTTAACAAACAAAGGATCTCTGTGTAAAAAAGATCAAAATCTTACCAATTGTATGGTAAACACACAAAATATTATTAACTTCATTTTTTTCTTGAAAAAAACCAATTCAATTATATAGCAATTAAAAGCAGTGGTTTTTTGTTATTATTTCTTACAACTTTCACCAACGAATAAACATTTTCGAAAAATAATCGATATTTATACGCATCAGCTGCCATATTATCTACAAAATGTGAAGAAAATATACTGACATTTCTTTAGAATGATCAAATTTTGTTTTGACGTTAATCCATATTAAAATTCGTTGCTGTATCAAATTTTCATAAATGTTTGCACAGCTTGAAACGTCTTATCGCAAAATAACAACAAAAAATAACCTATTTTTCTAATTGGATGCAAATTTTCTTAAGTATTTTTTTTTAAATTAAATTCACCAATGACATTTGATTTGAAATTATTATATTCGTAATCAGACAGTATGATTCATAGTCAACGGTAGGGTGCCGAGAATGAATTATGAAGTAATTGTTTGTTGATGATTCAAAAGACATTCGAATCATTAAAAACATTTCAATTTAATAAAATATAAGATTTTTTTTAATTTTATTTCCATAATATTTTAACAAAATTTCTTTGCAGTAAGCATGCATTTATTGAAATGAATGTATTTTTGGGTGGAACGTGAATGAAATGTGAAATGTTGGAAATGTTTGGATATTATTTTTGCTGTCGGAGAACGTGAAAATGTTTTTCTATTGTGACATTCATCTCACCTTTGAAATGAAAACGAAAAATGGAATGTATCGTCAGATAACGAAAATCATTCGATTGAATGTACATTGAGAAAGTGTGTGTGTGAGAGAGAGAGAGAGGGAGAGAGAGAAAATGTGTATCTGGCATTGTCTCAATGCTTACATGCCACGACGTTTGAATCATTTATCACTTGTGTTGTTATCGTAGCATACAATTCGTTTGCAATTCGACAAAAGAAGCTGTTAATGCGTTTTTTTTTTTTCAATGATTGTTGCATCTGCTTCGACGTATGTGTATATTCCATTGACTGAACCATTTGAACAACAACTTCATTCGTTCGGTTTTTTTCCACATCCATGCGATAATGTCTATATTGAAATAGTCGATGAAACGTGCCTATAACACAAAAGTATTACTGCTCTAAGGTGCATAATGGAGTTGAGAAACATGGCGTAGTAAATGAATTGAAACGTATCAAAAGATAATTTAACTACTCGCAATCGAATGCAATTATATAGTTTTTTTTTCTTTAAACAATCGAATGTTATTTCAAAGTCCTTTTTTTCTCCGCTCTTTCAGTGAAAGGAAAAATATAAAAAAATGTAGCGTCAAGAACGGTGAAACCGCAGAAGATTCAGTTGCAGCTGAATTTCCTATTAGTATAAGAATAACTATAGGTAGACAGAGCTAAAAACGACCGTCTAAATCGATCAACGTCAAATTGAAACTGACACTTGCACATGCGGCGGCTATCACGCTGTGCCAACTCAATTGAAATTGCGCGATCAATTCACCTTCTCTCAATCTCACTGCCGATTGAAATACGAAAGAAAAAAAGTGCAATGAACGCCCTGGATCGATTGAGTCGGAAGAGTGAAGGAAAGAAAATAAAAACACAAAATCCAATGAAATGTAGAAGAAAAAATAATTCAAAAACAAACGCATTTCTATCAATACGATTGTGAGCGCATTCATGTCAAACGCAAAGCTAAACAACAGTGAGAAAAAAATGCATTTTCTGCGTGTCGCTCAGAAATGCGAACCATCGTCACGAATTCACATTGAGCGTGCCGTAATTAATTTGACACATTTTATAAATGAATATGAAAGAAAATATGAATTCAAATGTGCGCGATACAGCAATGCATCGAAAATTCATTTAAATAATAATAATACGGTTCGATCCGTTTTCATTCTTTTATTCATTTTTCGATTTATTTTTTTTTTTTAACGCAATTGAATATATCTGACTAATATTCCATTTGGTTCACATAAATTCATTTTGCGCGCAAATCGAAATGTATTCGCTCATTTATTATGAATCGTTTTAATTGAGCTTCAATTTCAAAACATTTAAAAAACGGTGTGTACGTCTGAGAGCTCGAAAACTATGTGTTTTTTAATATGGCGACCACATCCCGTATATCCAAGTTCCACGTCGATTGAGCGCATCGATGAAGTAAGATTTCTGTTGTTTTCATTCGCCATTCATATATAAATTAAAGCAGGAAAATATAAATTCCACTATTGACATGTTTGAATTGGTGGCGAAGCTGGTGCAATAAAATGCATAAAAGGAAAAATTAAATGAAAAAAAAAGAATAAAATTGACCGTAAATAGTGTTTTTTGAACGTACTCAATAAGAATGGATTGTGGAAAAAGACGAAGCTGTGCGCATAAGACAAACAGAATGGCAAATTGTGGTCCCGTCCATTCATATACTATAACACGTATATATAGTTTTTTTTTCTTCATATTTATAATGGCACAAGCGAATACACACACGAGACGGGCACATCAGACATATGCATGCATAATTGTTGCTGTTTGGCTGTTGTTAGTTTGAGCTCTTCGACTATTTGCTGTTTCACCTCCCCTGTGGCGGTAATTATATATTGATAATTAAACGAGCTCAGCATGTGTGAGTGTGTGTATGCTTCTCGATATAAGCGATTATTAATGTCGAAAATACATAGATTGGATACGTGCATAGACACGCAGTGCGAGCATGGTAAAATGCGCCACAATATTGAGTCGTTGCCCATTATAGAATTCGAAAATTCGAATCGTTCGACTGAACATTAACATCAAATCACAGCGTCTAAATTAAGAGCCAACTGTGTGCGTGTCCTTTTCAAAACTAAAGACATTCGCTTTTCAGTGTTTAGTTGCTTCAGTCGATTATGATCAAAATTCCAGTCATTCAATCGAAATTAAAAGTCAAATAGAGGTTTGAGCGCACATGAATTATATTTGTGGAAATCAAAAGAGAACGAAAATGGGAAATGGCACTGAATTTAACTGTATTTGCTCTCTTTCGAATAAATATAGTGTCAATAAATTAAATAAATACAATTTCTGTTATTCATTACGTGAAAACCGACATATCTTGAACCACACATGTTGACGTCCATCGCGTCTGCATTTTTCCAATGATGTTTGACATACAAAAAATTTGTTGACAAACATACACGCACGCACACGTTTATATATATTTTACTTTTCAAATGAATAAACATTTACAAATCGATCGACTTAACGGAGTATATGAATTTTAATTGAAATACATTCAGAGCTCAGCACAAGCTGTCAACTTGTCAAACATCAAACATCACAATGTCGGCTGCCAAACATATGCGACGACTGCATATTAAAGACAGAGAAAATACGATAGACATTTTGTTGATCATTCGAAAAATTCTTGCCAACCAATCAAAATGCGGCACAACAAAACGGTAGCAAATCTGCTGGTGAATAAATAGAGAAGAAAAAAGGGTACATCATCACAAAAACATTCGTGTGAATATTCATTTGTAAGCACTAGCACACAGTTTCGTCGACACGCATTTCAAGATGTCTCGTGAAATATTTCGTTGAGGTTTTGTCTCTCATTTATCTTTCGAGTTTGCAACTGTGTGAGCCTCTATTTTCGATGCTTTTTATCTGTTAAATGAGAGACGCTATAATATCTGGACGATATAATATTAGGAGTTTGGATAAGAAAAATGGGAACAATTTCGTTGGGAGACAGAAATGAGAGCTAGTGTAAAAATAAATCGATGTTGTATTTTGCTCTCTCTCTCTCTCTCTCTCTCTCTCTCTCTCTCTTTCTTCATTTCTTTCTCTGTGTTCTTACAAATGTGTTGACATTCGCCACAATTCCCTTTGTTTAATAACAAATGACAGTGCTTCGTAAGCGAGAAACTAGTTCAAACGATAGAATGAAAAGAGAACTGAAAATGTACAACTACAAAGGTGACATGATGAAAGAGGCCAGCATTTTGTGGTGGCAGTTTTTTGCGGAACAAAAAAAAAGAAGAAAATTAATGTTGTCAACGAAAGAAAAAATAAAACATAGAAAATAGAAAACACATTGGAAATGGTTTTTTTTTTCACTTTCGGATCCTCTCGGCCAAAAAGAAATATTTGATCGAAATTTTGTTGTGACAACTCTTTAATGTGTTTTCATTTGTTTGCGTCCAAAATTCCTCGGGCCAAACTGTTTAGATCGTTTTATGCATTCCATTGAGTTTTGTGCGAAAGATACGAGCGAGTGTAGCGTGTATTTTTATGTATGCTCTCAATTCCTTGTTTGCATCTGCGATATAGTACATTAATCACGGGCAATTTTACGGGAGTGTTTCCGATTTGTTTAAAAAAAGTTTTTTTTTTTTTTTTGAAAAATATCTCGAAGCCGTAGCAACTTTGCGCAAATGCACTCAATCACACACACTTTTGATGCCAGTCGGCCGGTCTCAATCACCGTATAATTCTTTTTTTCTTTTCATCGCACACACATCGCCAAGTGATTTTTTTAAAATGGAAAATTAGTGTTGACAATTTTCGTGAAGCCTTGTTTTAAACCGAATGAAAAATTTACATCTATAGATTAGCACGCAATATACTAAAGTATGCACATTACACACATACGTACACACATAATCGGTGACACGAAATGTTAGTCGAGTTTTTCCTGCTATTAATTTCATTAAGCCATGTGTGTTTGTTTGTGTGTGGCTGTTCGTCGAATGTGAAAACAGATTAATTCTGTCAAAAAAAAATGCGACAGAAAACAAAATATAAATCCAACTAGAACGTATCTCAACTAAAACACTGCTGTCGTTCTGTATATCCCATTTCAATCCACATAATCGTCAAGCTGATGAGAAGAAAAAAATTGGCTTGTCACTCGTTTTGCCAAAATAACGTGATTTTCATTAATATATATAGCGCAATGCTGCCGAAATTCATTGCAAATATTCAAAATGGACGATTGTTGATTTTTTGTTTGTCGATCGGTCGACCATACATCGTTGTTATCGTTTTTCATTTTCAACGGATTTCGTGACAATCACAACGATTTTAAATTTTCGGCACTAAAATGTGTATTGAATCACTGGCCATATCAAAACAATGCATGCTACTTTC